AGCAATGGGGCTATCAGTACTAGGAATGACACCCAAGTCGCCAACGAACTTTCTGATCCAAACAGCTTCCTTTGTTGCGTCCAACGTTGCAATATACTCAGCTTCTGTAGTAGAATCTGCAACGATCGCTTGCTTAGAACTCTTCCAGCTAACAGTGCCTCCGTTCAAGCAGAAGACATAGCCAGACTACGATCTGTAGTCATCCGAGTCTGACTGAAATATAGCATCGATGTATCCTTAACAGTGAGCTCGTCTTCTGACCCACTGTATACCAAGAATACATCCTTAGTTCTTCTCAAGTACTTTAGGATGTTCTTGACGGCGATCCACTGTGACTCACCTGGATCTAACTGGTATCTACTCGTAATGCTCAACGCATAGGATACATCCGGTCGAGTACAAAGCATGACATACATGATGGATCCAATTGCCGAAGCATATGGAATCCTATCCATGCGTTCTCGCTCATCAGGTGTCGTAGGACACTAACTCTTGCAGAGACCTGTGCCACTGCTCATCCGTAAGGCTCCTTTCTTGGAATCTTACATCTTGAACCGTTTCAAGACCTTGTCGATGTAGGTATTCTGACTCAATCCTAGAAGACGCCTCGATCTATCTCTATAGATCTTAATGCATAAAATATAGGTCGTTTCTCCTAGGTCCTTCATAGAAAACTGCGTTCCTAGCCAAGACTTTACGTCTTGCAAGGTAGGAACGTCATCATGTACACATCCTCGGTCAAGTTCCCGTTAACGAACGCGGTCTTGACATTCATTTGCCATATCTCATAGTCGTAATATGCGGCTATGGCAAGGAGGATCCTAATGGACTTCAACATTACTACAGGGAAAAGGTCTCATCATAGTCAATACTATGAATTTGACGGAATTCTTTCGCCACAAGTCGTGCCTTATACGTGTGAACGTTGCCATCCATGTCGGTCTTCTTCTTGAAGATCCACTTGCATCCGATGGGTTTTATCCCTTCAGATGCATCAACTAGAATCTACACTTGGTTGTCTAACATGGATTGCATCTCAGACTTCATAGTCTCGCGCCATTTCTCGAAATCGGGACTCGCCATGGCCTCTGGGTATGTGGATGGCTCATCATGTCCTAATAACATGAGCTCTTCATTCCCAGTCACGAGAAATCCATATCTCACAGGCTCTTGGCGAATCCTGCCTGATCTCCGAGGTTCACTAGTCGAAGGTTGAGTCACAACCGGTAGTGAAACAGGTTGAACGTCTTCAACTTGTTCACTCGGCTCAGCGTCTACTTGTTGCTCTCGAACTTCCTCAAGTTCAATCCTACTCCCACTAACTCTTTTGGAGACGAATTCTCGCTCCATAAAAGTCGCATTCCTCGCAATGAACACCTTTTCTCTACCGGAATGTAGAAGTAGTAACCCTTAGTTTTCTTAGGGTAGCCCACAAATAAACACTTATCAGATTTGGAGAATAACTTATTAGTCGTTTGACGCTTCACGTAAGCGACGCAACCCCAAATTCTGACAAACGAAAACGCGAGATGCTTCCCCGTCCATATCTCATATGGCGTCGTTTCAGCCGACTTCGTTGGACTCCTGTTCCGCAGATACACAACGGTCTCTAAAGCATAGACCCAAAAAGACTTCGAAGATCTTCTGACTCATCATTGACCGAACCATGTCTAACGTTCCACTGTGGCGTTCCAGGAGGAGTTAGTTGTGATACAATACCACAATCAACCAGATAGTCAGTAAACTCTTGACTCATATAATCGCCACCATGATCAGATCGAAGTGTCTTGATCGTCTTGCCAAGCTGGTTCTGTACATTGTTTCTGAAAGCCTTGAACGTTTTAAGTGTTTCAGACTTATGTTTCATCAAATAGACATAACCGTATCTATTGAAATCATCAGTGAACGTAATGAAATACAGATAACCTCCTCTAGCTGGACAACTCATTAGTCCGCATACGTCACTATGTATGAGAGCCAATAACTTTGTCGCTCGCTGTCCTTTCCCTTTGAAAGGATGCTTCGTCATCTTTCCCATCAAACAACACTCGCAAGATTCAAGAGATTCAAAGTCAAATGAATCCAGAAGACCTTCATGATGAAGCTTCTGAATGCGTTTCTCGTTTATATGGCCTAGACGACAATGCCAGAGGAAGGTCGGGTTTAAGTCGTTCGGCTTAAACCGTTTAGCACTCACGTTATAGATGGACGATGTCGAGTTTGAAGGCTGATCATTCAAGACGTGTAAACTATTCACAAGACAACCATTACTATAGTAAATACTGCCTTGATAAATCATCAAACTCGAGTTCTCAATCTCAAATCGAAAATCATCCAAATCCAGACATGAAATAGAAATGATGTTTCTGCTAATGCAGGCACATAGTAACAATTACTTAATTCTAAAACAAGTCTAGAAGGAAGATACAACTCATAAACATCAGCACACAATGCAGCAACTCTTGCTCCATTTCCGACGCGCAGATCCGCTTCTCCCTTTGCTAGCATCCTACTTCTTCTTAGTCCCTGGACATTTCCACAAATGTGTGAGGCACTTCCGGTATCCAATACCCACGAAGATGTAGTACAGATGTTAGCTTCTATAACATGAATACCTGAGGCAGAAGCTTCACCAAGCTTGTTGTCCTTCAGATCCTCCAAGTAAAGGTGACAATTACGCTTCCAGTGTCCAACACTCCGCAGTAATGACAGTCACCCTTATCGGGCTTAGGCTTAGGCGTAGAGGTAACTTTTGTCTTTTTCGCCGCCTTCTTTTTCGCTTTACCCCGCCGCTTCTTGCCGGAGTTTTTCTCAATAGCAGGCACAGTCTTAGGGACCACGATATCCTGTTCAGCCGATTCCAACACCCCATGCAGTTCGGCTAAACTCTTAGTCATCCCATGCATATGGTACTGCATCACGAACTGATTATAGTCATCGGGTAATGACATCAGGATCAGGTCCACGGCCAAGTCACCATCGAGCTTCACTCCCATACGCTCAAGTTCCTCAATATGAGCTCTCATGTTGAGGACGTGGAGAGCTACCTCTCGGCATCTCTGTCTTCACCAGAGCTTTCAACGTCCTGTACTTTTCAGTATGCGCTAGCTCCTCAAACATGGTCTTGAGCTGGTTGATCATATCAAACACACTCTTCCCCTCAAACTGCCTCTTCAGATTCGAGGCCATGCTTCCCAACATGAGACAGGAGATCTCGTTGTCGTCAGTATGATGCTTCAACCAAGCATCCTTGACGGCTCTCGTGGCACTGGCCGCAGGCTCTGGTGGTAGAGCCCCTTCCAGGACATACGACTTCTTATCGTGCTTGAGAACTATTCTCAAGTTACGATACCAGTCTAAGAAGTTCGTCCCGGTCAACTTATTCTTCTTAAGGATAGATCGCATCGTCAAACTCGGTACACTAAAGGTTGTCACCATATCCTACAGAAAAAGACAAAGCAGAACGAAGAAAAACAAAATGCAGATTCTATCAATGATATACTACTAACTAGTCCATCATCAATCAATGACAACATAGATGCATATACAAGCTATACTTCCATAAAGAAAAATAACCCTACAATAATTTTCTATATGGGATTAAGATCCATATTTCACATAAGAATGAGTTGTTACACTCAGCCTTATGCTATTTAGGTAGACATCTAATGTCAATCACATCCAATGTGATTCTTAGATCCTTTATGAGACTATGATATCAAATATCATTGCATACTCGTCTCATCTGTACCGTTAAGTCTCTAGTCAAACTTGACAACTTAACCTAGTTAAACCATATTCAAGCTGTGGGAACCACGATTTCTCACCCTGCCTCACAAAGATAATCCGACACGCTCAGTTTTGGCATGACCCGTGTTACGGACGATCGATGCCTTGACAAGTGCTCTAGTAATGGAAGGTACACGCTTAGCATTACATAAAAGGGATTCTTAAAACCACACTTAGATCAAGCATCTACATTCAAGCTATGAGAACCACCATTTCTCCATCTTGCCTTACCAAGATAATACGGCACACCCAGCTTTGGCATGGCCCATGACACGTACGATCGAGGTCTTGACAAGTCCTTTACTCGTAGAGCTCCTAGATCTAACCGGTTTCTGTGCAACGATTGTACGAATCAAATCAAGGATCAACCATTGTTCCTTGATCAGATGTATTACATAATCCGAATAGACCATCCATTAGATTACGTAATCCCAATCCCGACACTCAATCAAGCATATCTAATATATTGATTAAGTTACATGCATTAATTCACTATGGACTATCCAAACGAACGAATCATGTTATTCTGAATCACAGTTCATCGGGTCCAGGCGAAAATGTGATTAGATCTCGTTTTCGTCGTTTCTGCCCCGTTTCAAACCCGAATTCGATCCGGTTTTCGCCTGTGAACTCAGAATTTGAACCTCTTGCACACTATGTAAAAAGAATATGAAATATACTCTAGATCTACAATCAATTCATGCATAGCATCCAAAAGCAAACACGGATTCAAACGATTCAAATCCTATAACGTTCGTGATCGGGTTCTAACAAAATCGTACAGAAAAACCAGGCTCTGATACCACTGTTGGGATTCCTGGGATCTCTAGAGTGAATCTAATTCCTAAGAGACCGGTTCTAGGGTTTGCGCAGCGGATGTAAAACAAAAATTTTATGAAACCCTAAAACCTAGCATGCATGATCTTGTAGAAACGTTAGAACGCTTACCTCAATCGATCCGGGGATCAATTGAGGTGTTCGTTCGATCACAAAAGGGAGGAAGATTACCTTGCCCTCTATACGTATCCACACAGCGGAAAGGATTCCAACAGTTGGAACTTGTCTGCTAGGACTGAAGAACGCTTTCTTCTTTGCGCAAGGATTTCAGGGATCTAACTATGAATTTTTCTATCTCAAAGCTTTTGACCATTGATTGTCTCCACTTTTGACTTTGGTAAGTTGGTGGATGTTGAGTCATTTTGGTGTCACGCTTACATCATCTCCTCTTTTGGGCTTTCAAGAAGCCTTATTAAGTTTGTGGGCTTGAACATTGGGCCTTTGTTGTTGGTTGGACTTGGAGTGATGTTTGGGCCACTAATATGTTTTATTAGCCTATTTCTGAACTCCCCTTGAATCATACGCACGAAAGCCGCTTGCAGTCTTTTGACCCTAGCTCGTGTCAATGGCCCTTGCACTTGAAGCTCCTCTTGGACATTTGAATGAGGTCGATCCTGTGTCCTAGTGATGTCCTCATCATTCTCTTCCTCTTCAAAAGGATTTGTCCTCAAATCTTGTTCATCATCTGCATCAAAAGGAGAAAAGTCAGCAACGTTGAAAGTAGGACTAACGCCATACCCACCTGGAAGTTTAATTTTGTAGGCGTTGTTGTTGATCTGTTCAAGAACCCGAAAAGGGCCTTCGCCTCTTGGCATCAACTTCGACTTCCTCTGACTAGAAAAACATTCCTTTCGCATATGAACCCACACCAAGTCCCTAGGCTTGAAAACAACCTCTATACGTCCCTTGTTAGCTTGCTTGGTGTATTGTTCCGTACGCCTCTCGATATTCTTCCTCGCTTTCTCATGTATCTGCTTCACAAACTCGGCCCTTTTCTTTCCATCAAGGTTAGTTTGTTCAGACATAGGTAAGGGACTCAAATCTAACGGAGTAGTTGGATTAAGCCCATACACAATCTCAAATGGAGAAAAACGAGTAGCATTATGCACATATCGATTATATGCAAATTCAACATGTGGTAAACAGTCTTCCCACATTTTAATATTCTTGCTAATCAATGCCCTAAGCAATGTGAATAGTGTTCTATTAACTACCTCAGTCTGTGTTGGTTTTAATGCTCTACGATGATCCGTGATATGACATTTTGACTACGTACTGATTCATTGGTTTATGAATGCATTACTTTTCCCGTTATATGATTGGCATGTTTGTTATATTACGATATCAATACCTACATCAGACGCATCACATTCAATCTCAAAGGTCTTCTCGAAATTAGGAAGCGGAAGGAGTGGTGCATGCGTCAACTTCCCTTTTAGGGGCTGCGATAGTGCTAAAATCCTTGACAAATCGTCGGTAGAATACAGCCAATCCATGGAAGCTCCTAACTGCTCCAACGGTGGTAGGTGTCGGCCAATTCTGTATCGCCTCTACCTTCTCTTCGTCCACCTGTATCCCCTGCTCGCTCACAACGAATCCTAGAAACACAAGTTTGTTAGTACAAAACGTGCATTTCTTAAGATTCGCATAGAGTTTCTCTTCTCTAAAAACATCTAATAAAACCTTACGATGCTCTATATGATCGCTAGTCGATTTGCTGTATATCAAGATATCATCAAAATAAACAACAACAAATCTCCCAATGAACTTCCTAAGCACATGGTTCATCAAGCGCATAAAGGTACTAGGTGCATTACTAATTCCAAATGGCATGACTAACCACTCATATAATCCTAACTTAGTCTTGAATGCAGTCTTCCATTCATCTCCCTCGCGCATCCTAATCTGATGGTATCCACTCTTAAGATCTATCTTAGAAAACACTCTAGAGCCATGCAACTCATCTAACATATCATCTAGCCTAGGAATGGGATAGTGATACTTCACCGTGATATTGTTGATTGTGCGACAATCAACACACATCCTCCAAGAGCCGTCCTTCTTAGGCACCAGAATGACAGGAACTGCACAAGGTGACATGCTCTCCCGCACGTATCCCTTCTCCATAAGTTCTGTAACGTGCCTTTGAAGCTCCTTTGTCTCCTCGAGATTTGTCTGATATGCCGGTTTGTTCGGTATGCTCGCTCCTGGGACAAAGTCTATCTGATGCTCGATACCTCTAAGTGGAGGTAAGCCATGGGGTGTCTCATCTGGAAACACATCCTGAAAATCCAGCAAAAGATCAAAGACATCACGAGGAAGAGTAGATGGTAACTCGTTAGTGAACAGGACCTCTTTGTACATAAGTACTATCATCGGTCGACTTGAAAGTAAGGCTTTCTTTACATCTCTCCCTCTCGAAAGAAGTAGTGTGTTTGAGCTCTCGGGTTTGCTCTCAAAGGCTTTTTTCTGGGTTTCACTCAAGAACTCTCGATCTTTTGGTGTATCACTCTTGGATTCACTCATCCCATGCTTCTTCTCGTTCTTGAGCATCCGCAATTGATCTTCGCATACCTCTTTAGGAGTAAGAGGTATTAGTCGCATCGGTTTCCCATGGTACTCAAATGTGTAGCGGTTGGTATAACCATCATGGGTAGCTCGCACGTCAAACTGCCATGGCCTACCAAGAAGCATATGACCTGCATGCATCGATACTACATCGCAAAGTACCTCATCTTCATACTTACCAATGCGGAAAGACACTCGAACTTGCTTGAATACCCGTGCCTCTCCACTATCATTAAGCCATTGTAGCATATAAGATCTTGGGTGTTTCGTAGTGGGCAAGTTCAGCTTCTCTACAAGTTATGTGCTAGCCACATTAGTGCAGCTTCCATCGTCTGTGATGAAAATACATACCTTGCCTTGGACGTAGGCACGAGTGTGGAATATATTCTCCCATTGCTCATCTATTTCTTCTTTCACATTAATGTTGAGGGCTCTCCTTGCTACCAAAAGCTCTCCTTTGGCTGGAAACTGATCCATCCCATCACTAGCATAGTCATCGTCCACAACTTTCGTTGGTAAGTGTAATACCCCGATTCCCGAATAAATTATTTAAATTAACTTCGGGAATAAAATAGGGTAAGACAAGTCTAAAATATAAGGTGATTGGCATACGAATCGAATCAAGGGATCAACGGGACTCGAACGCGTCGAAAATGTAAAAAAAACAAAGGAAATAGGGCCTAGACCGATCGGTCCAGAGGTAGACCGACCGGTCTAGCGAAAAACGGAGAAAAAGACGAAAAATCGGTCAAGAACGGACGAACCAATAATGCAGACCGGACGTTCTGCACGATACAGAACGGACGGACCAGGATGCAGACCGGACGGACTGCACGTTCGCGAAGCAGAATGGGCGGACTAATAGCTGAACGAGCGGTCTAGGGTCCTGGGAGCAAAACGCCGAAAAATGCTGACTTTCTTCCACCTTTCGGCCACGATTATTGCACGACAATCCGTCCCCACACACCACCAGCCGCCACCCCTGTCTAGTGGACGACATCCTCTGGCCCTCCTACCCTCTCCCTAGCTCCTATGGCGGCGTTAGAGGTCGATTTAACTGGCTCCAACAGGTGAAGATCACCATTCTGCAACCCAGAACCTGTTCTTCGAAGGCAGAGGAAAATAGAGAGATTCAGGGAGATTTGAGGCGAAACAAGTTTGGAAAATAAAAGAAGGGCATCCCTAGGAGTTTGCTGGAAAGTTTCACGTCCAAAGACGGTCTGAAGAACGCACACGAGCTCGGACAAAAACGCACAGCACTTGAATCCGAGGTGAGTGGTTTGAGTTGTGTTTGTGAGATCTGATTCTCATGAATAATGGTGTAGATTAGTGTTTCTACAAGAATTAAGGATTTAGGAATGATAAATAATGATTAGTAACGATTAGACCTTAAATCGGATCAGAATTTGGGCAAAAATGGCGAAAAATCGGACTAAGCTCGTGAGGAAGACGAAGATCTGAGTCCCAGACCGGCTGCAACCCCGAATATAGCTCTAGGACACGGCAGAACGAACACGTAGAAATGAACTGGAACGACCGTTCCAGCAGGATCCAGACCGTCCGGTCTGAGAAACAAGGGAGAACGGACGGTCTGAGTGCGCAGGACCGCCCGGTCTGGACCACGTAGAACGGACGTTCCGAATGAACCGGACCGTCCGGTCTGTCCCCGTAGAACGGACGGTCTAGGCATTATGAACAGTGAAAAATCTCAAAATCGCTGGACTGTTCGGTCCACGTAGTGGACCGAACGGACTGGCTGCAACCCCGATTATAGGTTCAAATGGATTAGACTATAATACGGTGTTAAATGGTATTCAAACGAAATAGGATAAAATAAGTATGTCGAACGAACGTGAAAAAAAAGTAAAAGTGCATAAAAAGAAAGGAATTAAACCATAATGAATACGAAGGATAAATCTAAGAGAAGTACTCGGAAATTGCGACATAGAAATAACGGATAAATAATTATGATGATGCATGTGATTGAATGACTAAGGAACCCCGTACTTAGTACCGGTCGACGGCGTGAGTCAGTGCTAGTACGGGGATGTGTGGATATGGAACCAGTGTCGGTTGACGAACTTGGAGTCAGCACTAGAGAATGTGTGGTTTCGGTTATAGTACCGGTTGACGAACTTGGAGTCAGTACTATTACCGAAAGGTAATACCAGTACCGGTTGACGATGTGGAGTCAGTACTGGTATA